GAGAGAGAGAGAGAGAGAGAGAGAGAGAGAGAGAGAGAGAGAGAGAGAGAATGTATGTGTGTGTGTGTGTGTGAGAGAGAGAGGGCGGGGGGACAACTTATATCTAGGTTCCAGAGATGGAATGCAGGTCATTAGACACTGAACCAACTCACAGACCCTCATCTTTCTTATTCCATGGCCACCTTCTCATGTTACAAAGGTTGTTCAATTTCCAATAAACATCTGTTAACTCCTCTCCCCCCCCTTTCGTGCATGTGCACTCTTCCACCTAACTGTTTTCTTTTGTGTTTTCTTTTGTAAGTTTTCTTTTAGAAGAATAATCACCTGACTTGCTGTCAAGTGTACCCTCACCTACATATTTTGATTTTCAGGAAGTAGGAAATTCAAGAGAGAACTGAAATGTTGCCTCTGTACCTTCATATCCTACCAAGTCAGAGTCCCACACTGACCTCTTAGCCACACTTATGACAACACAGCCTTCTCTGGCCTTAACAATATAACTTCCCAGGCTTCTTACTCACCTCGACAGTCAGATTATCTTTACTTTAGAAAATTAGATTTATTTTTCTAACGTGCATGAGTGTTTTGGTTCATGTATATATGTATGTATGTATGTATGTGCACCATAAATTCATGCCTGGTGTTCACAGAGGTCAGAAGAGGGGGGCAGATTGCTGAGGATTGGATTTACAGATGGGTGTGAGGAGTGTGGTTGCTGGGAACCAAATCCAGGTCTTCTGAAAGAGCAAGTGTTCTTAACTACTGAGCCATCTCTCCAGCCCCTCAGTGACCCTTTTCCTGTTCTTAATAACTCTGTCTTCAGCGTCATCCACTTTTCTAGGCTCACTTGCTTATTAACTCCAAATCCTTATTTCTGTCCTAGATTGCGCTGTCAGACTCCTGATTTGTACTTTTAATTTTCTACCAGACATGTTCACTCAGATACTCTGTGCACGGTGCACCCGTCTCCACAGACCAGGCTGTGTGGTGGTGATAACAAGAACTTATCCTTGTGGCTGACAAAGATTCATTTCTTGTTCATACTACACAGTCACTGTGGCCCTACTGCAGCTGCAACCTTGTTGTCCTCCCTTTGGAACCCAGGCTGACGGAATCCATCTGGAACCTTGCCAGTCACAAGAAAAGCTGTATGCTGGCTCTTAAAGCTTCTGCCCTGCAGTGCCACATTTTATCATCAAAGCAATTCACATGGCCACTCCTGTGATAGTTGGGTGGAACTGTATAATCTTCCTCCAGGGAGGGGCACAGAAATATTTGGCACCAGTAATAGAGTCTACCATAGGCATGTCAGACAGAACACGTCCAAACGTCCCACTTACCATTTACTCCCCATCCAGAACCTCTCCGAGTTCTCTTTAGATTCTGTTACTTGGCATCACTGTGCTTTATGTTTGCCAAGCTGGAAACTTCATAATCATTTTTAAATTCTTCTCCTGCCTTATTGTCCTTGCCATGTCCAGTTTCTTCAATGGTTCGCAGTGTTCTACCCCCAAATCTCTCTTACCTCAAGTTCATATATTTCTATGACCCTAGGCAAAACTGGTCTGTTGTGTGGGACTCTCCAGCAGTCTCTTCATTGCCTTTGTTCCTTCATCCTGCAGTCAGGGTTTGCTTTCTAAAACACACCCCACTTCTCAGAAGTCTTCATGTGCTTTCCATTGCTTACAAAACACCTTCCTCTGCTCCTTCATGCTCTCCCAGGGGAGCCTGAACAGCATATTCACTAGTGCCTTCCAGCTACCTGCATCACATTGCACTAAAACACTTCCACTGTTGTGGAAGGCAGTTTATTCTTTATGCCTCTGGCTCTTAGAGTCAACATTTGCTGAGAAGCCTAACTTAGGTGCTCAAGCAAAAGATACTGAGTTCAGTGTCTGCTTTCCATTTCCCTGGCCTCATACACATAGCTTTAGGCATTCATTTGTAAAACTCTAGAGTTGGTTTTTGGTTTTGGTTGTTGTTGTTTGTTTGGTTTGGTTTTTCAAGACAGAGTTTCTTTGTGTAGCCTTGATTGTCCTGGCCTCACTCAGAGATCTGCCTGCCTCTGCTTCCTCCCAAGTGCTGGGATTAAAGGCGTGTACTACCACCACCTGGTATCTTTAGAGACTTTTTTAAAAAGAGGGTCTGTGGTAAGATAAGATTGGAAAGGCCATCCATTCTATGTCTTCTTAAAGATTATACTTCATTAAATTGTGGTTTTTGAGAAATTGCATATTAGGAAAGTGTGTGTGTGTTGCTAGACTTTGAACCCACAGTCTCACACATAGAAGGCAAATGCTATACTATTGACCTATACTTCTCCCTTTTAAAAAAAAAACCTTATAAACTGATTTAATGCAGTATTCCTCAAATTTGATGGGAAACACTTAAGCACACCTTATAAACTAATACTCCTAAATGACATACTTTCAGGAAAGATGCTAGACCATTCTATTCTAAATATACACGTCTTTGACACTGTTTAAACTATAAATTAGGAATAGCAAGAGATTAATAATATAATAAAAGTTATGTGAACCAGACGTCCAGACGTGGTGTCTGAAACCTGTAATCTCAGCACCTAGGAGACTGAGATGACAGGACTGTGAGCTGGAGACTAGCCCGGCCTGCAGACTAAGTACATAACAGGTCGTGTCTCAAAAACACAGCGATAACAAAACGTTACGTGAACATTGTCACTCTCAGAATACCTCCATGTCCCATTGCGCTATGATAATATTTTGGACCTTGGTTGACCACAAGTAACTGAAGCCATAACTTGAGATAAGTAGGAGGTACTGTGACTCAGTTATACTTTCTCTGGTTTGGGTAGATACCTAAACTTAATACGAATTTGAAAGAAGAATTCTCCGTACTCCAAGTTTTTATATTCATTGTTATGTGAGCTGTAGCTGGAAGGGATGGTTGTTAGAAAGGAGTCAAATAAACCCTGTGGGAATGAATGTCTCTGTGCTAATTAAACTTTTTCATATTAAATTCTACTGAAAAACAGAAGACACAGACTGAATAGCAAGATTTAATTCTTTTTCTGTTCCGTGCATTTGTGGAGTTGTTCCCCCACCCCCACCCCCCGCCTTTCAACAGATTTGATTTCAGTGTTTTTGTTGTGGAAGAACCTTAGACTTTTAGATCTACAAAGGGTCATCACCAGATATCATAGACAGCTAGATTGAAGCACAAAGATGTTCAGTTCCGTTCACGGTGTGTGGCTGTAAGGACTGACCTGCATCTGAGCTGTCTTCTCAGTCTCCATCTTATGTGGGCTTCCGGAGATCCTTTGGGGGAGCTTCTGTGACTGCTTCTGTGATTATGAGTTTTGCTGAACCTGGTGAACCAGTTCAAAGATCTTCATCTTATCTTTTACTGAAAGCTGTGTGTGGCAGGTGTCATTACTTTTTTCTCAAATGAGAAATGAAAGTCGTATCTTCCGGGAAAGTTTATCTACCTCGGATTTTTTCTTTGTTGCAGTGCTGGGGCTTGAACCCAGGGTCTTACTCATGTTCATGCTAAGCAAGTACTTAACAATTCAGCTACATTCCCATTCCTTAAATGCTGTTCTCCCTTCTCTGCCTACAGAGTGTCGTCTATAAATATGTGGCACTATTGCTGTATAAAACTATAGATAGAGCCAGGTGGTGGTGGTGCATGCCTTTAACCCCAGCACTCAGGAGGTAGAGGCAGGCAGATGTTTGTGAATTTGAGGCCAGCCTGGTCTACATGAGCTAGTTCCGGGACAGGCTCCAAGGCTACAGAGAAACCCTGTCTCAAAAAAAAAAAAAAAAAGCCTATAGATAAAGTCATTATTTGGATTGCCCAAAAGAGGCTGTGGATTCGTGCTTGAGAAAGTGCTTTGGGATGAGGCTGGGCTAAGGAAAAATTACAATGGAATCCAACTTGTTTTTTTTTCAGGCAGGGTCTCAGTGTAGCCCAAACTGACCTTGCTGACCTTGAATTTAAAACAATCCTCCTACCTCAACCTCCCAAATGCTGAGGTTACAGGTATGAATCACAATGTCTGGTTTAACATCTTGAATTAATCTAGTTTTGTGATTTCACATAAGAGCAGTTTGCTAATTTGTTACCAATTAATGCATAAAAGGAAAAAACTGACCTTAAACTAGTTTGTTGCTCAGATGATTAATTGTATTTTTAAAAATGACGTATTTTTTTAACAGGTGGGGAAAAGTGGCAATGTCCCAGCAGGCACTACAGTGGATAGTACCATCACACATCCATCGGAGTTTGACTTTTACCTCTGTAGTCATGCAGGAATTCAGGTAACTTGGAAGCTGACCTGATAGGGAGGTATTTGCAGTTCAGCAGCCAGCCTGAGGAGACCTGTCATTAGACACTATGCTTGGCTTTGTTAACGGCTCTGCTCCAGAAATCTACTTGTAGGTGTGTGAGGCAGAGATATTGTTGAGCTTAATAATTAGATCTCAGTTCCTCTTCTCTCCTAACTAGCCAAGTCCTAACACTCTCCCTTCAGGGAACCAGCCGTCCTTCACATTACCAGGTCTTGTGGGATGACAATTGCTTCACTGCAGATGAGCTCCAGCTGCTGACGTACCAGCTCTGTCACACCTACGTGCGCTGCACACGCTCGGTCTCCATTCCTGCCCCTGCATATTATGCGCGGCTGGTAGCATTTCGGGCAAGGTATCATTTGGTGGATAAAGATCATGACAGGCAAGTTCATCAATAAAACTCTCTTCCTGTTATGGAAGCATGTTTTAAAAAACAAGCTATGCAGAAAGCTCTTAAAGATTTATATGTCCTTTTAACCTTCAAGAAACATTCAAAACTGTACAAGACTTTGAGAGCTTTTAATGTGACTTTTGATCCAAGAAGAGCTCAGGCTTGTTTAAACTTGTGCTGTGTTTCTAACAGAGTCTCCTTTGGAGCTGCCTGTGGTTTTCACATAGAACTAACTGCATTTCATTTCTGCTGAGGTCCCAGGCAGCCTCCAAAGGTGGCCAGCATAGCACCCTGGTTCCAGTCAGTGTAGTCACAGCCTATGGACTCCAATTCATGCATGAGTGAGTCCCACATAGTTCATTTTGCTTCCAGTACAATCCAGAAATGACCAGAGTGTGCCAGGGCTTATGGGAAAACAGAAGGAGTGAGTATCCTCATTCCCAGATAGAGATCTCAAAGGGCTCAGACATTTGGCCTGTTACTGAGCTACAAATATATGGCTAAAGGAGCTCTTTGCATTGATTTTCTTTCCCAAATGACAGTCTGTGAAGTTTAGCAGTTTCTGGGCTCTACCCCATCCAGTTGCTAAATAGTAGACATTCCACTGCAAGTCTGTTCTATAAGGGATTGAAAATACACTATTACAGAAAACATCCAGCTATGTCTTTGTACTTTGTATTCTCCAATATACATCCATTTATTTAAAACATTTATTTGGTACTGTGTGCCAGTACTGTGCTAGGTACTAGAAAATATCAAGATTAGTAAGCCTTGTTTCTTACCTGCAGGTATTTTATGTTTCAATATGAAGATCTACAGGTGAATAGAAAACTGACAACTGGTCTAACAGTATAGATAGCTTCAGTGGGAGATCAGAGGAAAGGCTGGTAGGGATTTTAGAGCTGGGTGAGCAGGACTTAACTGTACAAAGGAAAGAGGATTTTCCAGGCAGAGAGGACAGTGGACATAAAGGAAAGAGAACAAGTGGCATTTCTGGACAAGGGTAAGTTTTCTTTGACTGGAGCATATTGAAAGGAAACAGCAGGCACAGGGCAGAAAGCTGTGTTAGAATAAGATTGTCCTTATTAAATGTAAAAAGCTGTTCCTGGGATAGAATAGTGCAAGCAGGGGAGGAAAGGATGAAATCAAAGGTGATTAGATAATAATCATCATTTAAAGAGAGGTCAGAGGCCAAGGTGTGACTCAGTGGTGAGTGTTGTGCTTAGTATACATGAAGCCCTAGATCGAATCCTCAGCACTGAGAAAGGGATGATTTGCCAAACTCCTATGTTACATAATACCCCGAAGATGAATGTTTAAAGTTGTGAACACTCTGATAGGCATAGACTCATTAATTTAGGAATCTAATATTAGCAAGTAAAAACAAAGTTAAGCCAGGCATGGAGGTGCATGCCTCAGAGGATCTCTATGAGTTTTAGGACAGTGGAGCCTTCATTGTAAGATTCTGTCTCAGAAGAGGAAGAAGAAGGAGGAAGAGGGGGAAGAGAAGAAGGATGCTCTTTTCTTGGAGATTTTATTGCAGTGGAGACAAAAAAAAAATACCCAATAGTACCTAGTAATGTCCCAGTTGACAATTTTAATGTTGGTTGTGTCTAGTACTGTAAAAGGAAACCGCAACTGTCTATAAAAACATTCTAGGTGACCCTGACCTGAACTTGGGAGTCAGGGAAGACCTCTAAGAGGGAAATGACATGTAATTGAGGCCTGAAGGATGAGTAGGAACTAAGTAGACAGAAGGGACAGTAGAAGTCCTTATGTAGGTGCTATTAAACACTTGGTTTTTATGAACGTTGTTTTATTTAATTAATGCAACCATCCATTAAATAAGTCATACTGTATTTGTCAGTTGAATAAGCATGTCTAAGGAAACATAAATCGTTTGAGTAGCCCAGCTTGAGCTCAAGATGTTCTTGGATCCAGTACTATGTGTGCTACCTGAAACACTGAAGTTGAATGCTGTCTTCTCTTAACACCTGGTTTTTTGTTTTGTTCTCATTATAGTGCGGAAGGCAGTCACGTGTCAGGACAGAGCAATGGCCGGGACCCTCAGGCTTTGGCTAAGGCTGTGCAGATCCACCACGATACCCAGCACACTATGTATTTTGCCTGAGAGTCTTGGAAAAGAACTCAACCAATTTGGCATCCCACGCATCCTCAAATGTTTCAGATGCCTACTGCCTCTAGATAGTGCCACGTTGATTTCAGGTGGTCCCCTACCAGCAGCTCGGAACAGTTAGTTGCACTGAATCTGTACTTTGCAGCCCTGTCTGATGCATCAACAAAATTGAGCCATTTTTTAAAGAAGAAAAAAAGAAACTCATAGATTATGCTTTCTGATGCACTGGACAAAATTTTTACCTCAGCGTGCAAAGGCTGATCAGCCTTGACTTTCTAAAGGACTTATTTTCCAAGGAGGGTTTCTGTGGGATATTTTGCTAGCTGTGGTATTCACCGCATCTAGTCTTATAAGAGGAGTATTTCCTTTTTCCTTGTTCATTGAGTGGGGTATATGCATAAGTGGGAGAGAAAAACCAAACGACCTGTTTCATTTCCATGCAACTTTTTAATTGGGTGGGCCCATAGACTTTTTAATGAAGATTTCTGACTTCGCCACTGTAAATGCCTTTAAGGAGCATTAATTTTTGAAAGTTTTACAGAATTTTATTACTTTCACTGCTTTATCTTACTGATCTCTCCGGGCCTGTGCTGTGGAGTGCAGGCTGCCTGGCAATTGCACTATATCTGGCTGCAGACTCAAACAGGCAGTTCTCTTACGTGTCTGGCTTCTGTGAATGTGTGACATAAGCAAGTGTGATGCGTGTCACAGGGACAGGTAGCACTGCCATGGTCAAAAGTAAAAAGTTCTCCCTATTTGGAAAAAAAGATTAGCTTTTAGTACGTTTCCAAGTTTTTTAAAGTGCCCATTTTATGCTGCTATGTGGTTTGTTAGATCTAAATGATTTTTAAACTTCTCTCATAGAAAGTTAACTTTGGCAATAAGCATTTTTAAGGCCCCTCCCCTTTATCCTCCAACAAGGTAGTTTTATAGATGAAATTTTGGTATGATTTTATCAACTATTTCTTAATATATCATAACCTGGATATTCTGAAACCAGTCAGTCGATAAAGACATATATTTCCACGCCCTTTTAAATAATTGTTTGGTTTTTTTAAACCTGATTTATAGTCATAGTCTGTGACCTGTCATCTTTTTTCTTTTAAAATAAGCTGGAACCAGGATGCTTTGCCAATGTATAAGGCACATTGAGTGATGCTGGACTTTAAAAAAAAAAAAAAAAAGTACCAGCATGTAAAAAGCTCGTTTTCCCTGGGAATTAAGGCTGTGCTCATAGCTGCTTACAGTACAGTTCTGTTTGCTCTTCTCTCAGCCTGAAATGTGCTTGATGGTTTTGCCTTCCTCTTTTTCAGCTAAAACTTTGTGGAAGAAGTTGATTTTCCCCTCTTTTCTGTAGAGTCTGGATTCCCTCACAGGAAGACAGGACTCCTTTTCTTGTCCAGCAAAGGGAGTTGATACAAAGCAAGTATCAATTAGAAACTAGGGGAATGGATTCTGTATTTAATGTAGATAATACTTTGTAAAGGACAAACGTTACATAGTCTAGGTAGTTCCACCCAGGGTTTCCCAGCCCACATTTTACTCTGTCCTCGAAGGGCAAGAGGTGAAAGGTAAAAGGCTCTCTGGAGAGCCACACTCCTTGAGCTGAGGAAGGAGCTGGGAAGAGACAAACACAATATACTGAAAACAATTTTGTTGTCTCTATCTAGAAACCATTGGTGGGAAACACTGGATCAGATGGTGAAGGGTGTTTGCTTGAACTCATTAGTTGATTCAAGATCCAAATCTGTTAAACTAGCCTTCTCAAAATCCCAGCAATACAAAACACTGTTCTCCTTCAGTCTTTTCAACAAGCTTGTAAATACATTAATGTTTACATTTCCATGTGCTGTTGCTCGGCAGTGCCACCAGCGTTAGCTGAACTGGTCTCTGAGAGAGTTTTATAATGTCCATCGAGTCCTTTAGCTCATGAGGATGAGTGCAGACATTCTTAATCTCTGCAGACAGTGGGGAAAAGCAAGTCCTGTGGCTGAAGCACAATGAAGGCAGGAGTGAAGAGGCAGCTGATACTTTTTTTTCCGAATACCTCACTTGGATAATACAAATCTGGACATGTTGATCAGTGGCTGACTGCCCCTTTTATTCACACTCATTCAGGGAGAGCACAGAAAATACTCTTCAGCACAGCCGCTCTGGATCCAAGAGGAGGAAAAAAAAAGTGGGAGCTTTTTAGGAGAATGAGGACTCACCTGGAGCCTGTGGCATGAAGAACTCTTGATGGTTGGCTAGCTGGCTATCCAGCCAGCAGGCACCACACCTGCACTTGAGTGCCGCAGGCTCACTGGTTAACAATGCACAGAAGAAATGTCTTGCCATCTTCCTGCATGATGGAACAGGAAGCAAGCTGGTTGCCCAGAAGCCCTGATCCATTTGCCTGCAGTTGGGTTCCATGCTTGACCTTGAACAAAATACCTGAAACACCTCAATCTGTCCTAGTATGCTGGAGCCTATTAGTATGGTGGTGGAAGAAAAGCCAGGAGGCCAGTTTTTGTAGGAAAACAGTACCATTAAGGGTGTGATGCTGTTGTTTTGAACAAATGGAAAGAAATGTGGAAGAATTAGGATTGTTGGGGAAAAGCTTACCGAGGGGTAAATAGTTAAGAGGTGATCCCTGCAGAATCAGAACTGCAGTAATACTATCGCAAGCAAATCTGAATGCATAGTTTTAATTTAATTAGGGTTGACAATTCAAATAGTTCTCCCCTCGAAACTGACTGAATCGTTATGCATGTGTCAATCAATGGGAGGTGTGCATTCTCTAGAAGTAGTGTTAGGCTGTCTGGTTTTCTTAAATGCAGCCTATTTAGGCACTGTCATGTAGTGTGAAAGATTGCAGTATGGCAACACTGAAGAATTAACAGTTTGGGGCTAGGGAGCACAGGACATTAAGAGTGGGGAAGACCCAAATGTTGAAATAATTGTGTTTTGTTGTTGTTAGTTGTTGAGTCCTGAGCCGTTTATGAAGTGAACCAGCTGGTTTAATGCAGCTAGCGTTCTGGGCAGGCAAACCACATTCACTCCTACTGTAAATTCTATATGCTGCTTCCAAAGGTGATGACTTACAAGCAGGCATGTTCTGTATGGCCTGTATTTTAGCATCTGGTGCCCGATCTATATCCTATGCCCTTACCCACCTGACTCAGCTGCCTATTCCTTCCCCTGGGAAAAGATAATCCACTGTTTTAGCAAGGCTCACCCTCTCTACCCTAGTCACCCTCTGTTGATATATTATATGATTCTCTTGCTCATTAGCAAGGTGGCAGCTCAGCTTTCATTTTAAGAAAGTGGAGGTTAAGGGCATTGTATTAATATTGCTTCAACTCCAAGAATTTTTTCTTATAAAATTAAAGGAAAGATCTTTATTGGCCAACCATTTTCTTTTCCCTTGCTATTGACAGATTCATGTTTTTTCTGTGTCTACTGGCTGAAAATGTTTGTTTGTTCATCTGACTAACGGTGTGGTTTTTGTTTCTCTATGGTTAGACTTGTAATGTTTTAAAATGTATTTTATTAATTTGGACTGAATGTCTGTCTCTAGCAATACGAGGTACTTTTTAAGCTATTAAGGAAGGGTTTGTATCCCTGTGTGAGATAAGGTGATGGTTGTTTAAAAAAATTTTTTTTTTGGCCTGCAGGGATATTTTGTGTTCATGTGTCCAAAAAGATGGGTAGGGGGGTGGGTGGGAGAGATAAATTGGCATTCTTGTGCTAAAAGTTGTTTTTCTTGTCAATTGTGTAATAAATATGGAATATATTATAATGGCATCATATATGGCTACTTTTAAAAAACAATTTCATCTATTTGAGAAATTGGACAAAGAAGAGAAGTGAAACAACTATGTTTAATTCTGGGTCTCTCTATGTTTAGGAATTGCCATTTGGGAGTTTTTGAAGGGCTCCCAGCACCACTTCATATATGAAAACTTTGACAAGATTCATCAGGGTTCTAGGTACTGTTCTCAATGGGAAGGGAAGCTCTGATTAAGTGATATTTTAAGGAAACTGGTGAGGTGTGGTGGCTCGCTCCAGTAATTTCAGAAGTTGGGAGGCTGAGGCAGGAACATTATTACGATTCTGAGTCCATCCTGGGCTTTAGAGTGGGACCCTGTGTATTAGCTACTTTTCTCTTGATGGATAAAATATAACCAAAACTGGCCTATGGGAGAAGTGGTTTTTCCTTTGCTTATGTTTCTAGAGGGAGAGTCCACAATGGCATGCAAATATGGCAGCAGACAACCTCAGCAAGGAGCTGAGAAATCACGTCTTCAACCACAAGCTTGAAGAAGAAAGTGATCTGGAAATGAGGCAAGGCTGTAAACTCTCAAAACCTGCTCCCAGGGATGGATTTCCTTCAGCAAGCCTGACCTTGCATAGCCTCCCTAAATAGCGTCACCAACTGGGAGCCAGGCGTCCAAAAGCCTGAACCTGTTGGGGACATTTTTCAGTCAAACCATTATACTGTGTCTCAAAGAAAAGCAAACAAATAAAAACAAAAGATCCAAGAAGACAGTATGGCCAGATCCTTATATTTATGACTTAAGTTCTCTAAAGCTTCCCAAATTCACACAAAACAGGGTTTCCGGTCTCTTGTCTTGTTTGGTTTGGGGGCAAAATCTCCCTGTGTAGGCCAGACTGGTCTTAAACTCTTACTTCTGTCATTGTAAGAACTCCAAGACTACTAACATGAGCTAACATGCCCAGCTCATGACTTCTAAAACTTAAAAATAAACCTTTTTTGCTGAGTTATGATAATAATGCAGAATTTGCACAATCTGAAATTTATTCTTTGGGACTCTCATTCATCAAGAGAGAAAGTCCTGCATGCAGCCAATTCCTGTGAAGGTGGCTTCTGGTTTTCTGCCAACACAGTTTCTCCTGTGCCAACGGTCAGACATGCATCACAAACGAAGTGCCTGCAATCTCCACCTCATTACTCAGGACATGGGAGAGTTAACAGCTTCCTCAAACAGTTCATTCTGAATTTGAAGAGGGCTCAGTGAGTAAAGTGCCCACCACACAAGCCTGAAGACCAGAGTTCAGATCCCCACAACCCACGTGAAAGCCAGGTGGACATGGAAGCTTGCCTGTAATTCAGCAACTGGAAGATGGAGACAGGAGCTGGAGAGATGGCTCAGTGGTTAAGAGGACCCAAGTTCAACTCCTGGCACCCACATGGCAGTTAGCTACTGCGTATAATTCCAAGATCTGATACCCTCACACAGACTTACATATAAGCAAAACAACAATGCATATAAAATAAAAATAATTATTTTTTAGAAAAAGAAGAAGATGAAGACAAAGTCCCAGGAGAAAGCTGATTAGTTAGACTATCCACATTGGTGGTCATTTTGAAACCCTGCCTCAATAAAGTAATGGATAATCCCAATGTTAGCCTCAGGCCTTCACATGGACATATGAGTGCACATGCCTATACACATGTGCACCCATACATATGTGAACATGCATACACACATCACAGATGCATGCACATTGATTAATTGATTAAAAGAGTTCATTCTAACGACATATGGTGGAGGAAGAGGCAGCGTAGCTAACATATGAACGCCCACTCGCCAGGCACTTAACAGGGACATCTTTAATATTAGCAACAGCTCCTTGAGGTTGAGAGTGGACTCTTCATTTTTCAAGAAAAAAAGAGCTTGGGGGGTATAGTTCCTTTGTGCAATGTATGCGTATGGCCATGGGTTCAGTCACTAGCATGGCAAAAATAAAACCAGCCAGTCAGCTTCCAAGAGGTGAAATACACAATTACTGAGTGGCAAAGCTATAATTTAAGTGCATGCTTTCTTTAACTTCACTTCACCTACTGTTGAGCATAAAATGACAGATGCTGCTCCAAACAGAAAGAATTGCCATGGGAATCAGGAAAGGCTTCACAGTTTTAGCGGCTGGGCTGGGACAGATCGTAAAGTGCAAGCAGGCTGAGGAAGGAAGTGAGGAGACTCTAGGCTCTGCTCCCCCATGGCGGGTTAGAGGAGCTATAATTGTCTGAATATGGTCTCTTACTCCTCTTCTGGGAGGCAGAATCCCTTGGTTATATGGGAACCAATGAATTAGCTGTCTTATAAAGAACAGTTTTATGAGGCAGGAAGATCGCTGTGATTTTGAAGCCCAAGCTGGTCTGTACAAATTCTATTCCAGCCTGAGCTATCACAGCAAGACCCTTCATGTAAACACAGTGACGGAGAACTACTTAGCCATGGAAAAACGGCTGAGGACTCAGTGATTAAGAACATTGACTGCTTTTTCAGAAAAATCCAGATTCAATTCCCAGCACCCTTAAGGCAGCTCACAGTTATTTGTAATTCCAGTTCTAAGGGACCCTTTGCTCTCTTCTGTCCTCTGTGGGCACCAGACATACACTTGGTGCACTGACACACATGCAGACAAAAATACCCATACACATAAAAATTTTAATATTTTTTAAATGGCTAAAATCCTGTCTTGTTGGTATAACATGGATGAATGTGATGGTTGATATGTTAAACAAGCCAGGCACAGAATGCAAGCCCTGCATAATGTCACCTGTGTGCAGAAAGTAAAATAATTGGTCTCTTAGAAGTAGAAGGGGTGGTCAGAGAGGTGACTCAGTGGTTAAGAGCACTAGACTGCTCTTCCAGAGGTTCTGAGTTTAATTCCCGGCAACCATATGGTGGCTCACAACCATTTATAATGGGATCAGATTCCTTCTTCTGGTGTACATGAAGACAGAACACTTATATACATAATAATGTATATGAATAAATAAATGTTTTGAAAAAAGAAGTAGCATGTAATGGTGGTTACTAGGAGCAAGTTAGGTGAGCACCACAGGATACAGAGTTTTGAGTGGGTAGAATTAGCACAGGAACTCTATTGAACAGGATGATGAGTGTTGGTTTGTTTCTTGAAAATCACTAAGAAAGCCAACCTTTAAGTATTCTTACCACAAAATTCTGGAAGCCAGAAGAGGGCTCCAAAATCCCTTGGAGCTGGAGTTACAGGTTGGGTTGTGAGATGCTTACTGTGGATTCTGGGAATGGAAGTCAGGTCCTCTGCAACAGCAGTGTAGACTCTAACCAGCTCAACCACCTGTCCACCTCTACTTCTCCCCATATCACTTTTTTAGCGCAATGCAGACAGTTGAACTCAGGACCTCCCTCATGCTAGGCAACCACTGTACCACCTAGCTCTAACCTCAGCCTATTATTCTTAGATTTTTAAGGACTGGAGGGGGAGGAAATAGAGGTGATAAGGCTACTAAGGGTGAGGCACTGATTATTCACAGGACAGGACCTGAATGGCATTTTAAGGAGTTTAGAAATTGTCTTACAGGCAAGATTGGACTTTGTGCTAGTTTTACTGGCAAGAATACTGTGACATCTGGAAGCTGAAATTCTGCTAAGAGAAGCTCAAAGGTTTTGTAATTTTTGTGAGCAAACATGGATGAGGCTTGAACCTGAGCAGTGAGGTGCAGTCGGAGGGAATAGAGATGAGAACGAAAATAGAAAAAATAGACCTTGGTAGCTGAGCAGATATGGAGAGTGAGGGGAGGGAGGTAGACTCGTTAGGGATTCCAGCCTCTCATCTGGGTGGGTGGGTAAACAATAGTGCCACTAAGAGGACGAACAGAAGAAATCAGCAGACTTATGGGAAGGAGGAAGATGGTAAATTCAGTTTCAGGCAAATTGAACTGGAGGGCCATTGTGTTTGGACTGAAGAAAGAGATTGGACACATCAGTGTGTCAGTGGTGATTAAAAGCATTCAAGTGTGGTAACAGGAGGGTCAGGTAGATGGGAAAAGCGTGGAGTCCTGTGGAACGCAGATGTTTAAAGGCAAGGAAAGGGTAAAGGAGAGACTGAGAGAGAGAACCAGTCTTTCTAGAAACTGAAAGAAAAGAGGACTCCTTGTCAGCTACAGTCCTGCACACCTAAAACCCTAGAACTTAGGAGGCAGCGGCAGAAAGATTACTACAAGTTTAAGACCAGCCTGGTCTAGGTAACGAGTTCCAGCCCAGGAACCCAAATAGTGAAAGAAGAGTACCAATTCTTGCAACTTGCAAATCGTCCTCTGACTCACACACACAGATGTAAAATATGTTTAAGTTAGAAAATGCTCTAAGTAGAGTCTTTTCTGTTTCGTTCTCAGTTTTTCTGCTGCTATGTGGGATCTTTCTCTCTACTTCCTTCACGGTCTAGTATTTTCAACTGTTCTTCTCTCTTCAGCTCTTCTCCAGTGTGCACATATCCTCAAACTTCTCCCATTCCACAGATACAAACTACTCCAACTTCATTCAATATAGAATTCATTATTTCCCATTATGTCTGATCTTCTAGTAGATCTGTCCTAGAGACTCCTCAGATCTCTTCAGTCGTGATCTGTTCCCTCCAGCCACAGGAATTGCTTTTATCACAATTAATCCTAACTTCCTTGCTGCAAATTCCAATGGACATCTTTCAGATTTTGTGTTTAATTCTTATGGTCCTGGCATTTGAACCCATGGCTGACTTTACACATGATAGGCAAGTGCTGTATGGTTGAACCATACTCTCACTACTAGATCTTGAAACATTGTTAAATATGTTCATTTATATGTGAGCATGTATACATATAAACTCGTACATGCACATGTCATGGCACACATGCAGAGTTTAAGGCCAGTCTAAGCTGTAAACAAAATAGCCACTATCTTTATTAATAATGAATGAGTGAATTTGTATGTGTGTGAGCCTGCCTGAGTTGATGTGCACCATGTGCATACAGGTGCCTGTCGGAGGTCGGAAGAGGGCATCAGATCCTCCTAGAGTTACAGGTGATTGTGATCCACCATGTGGGTGCTTGGAACTAAACCTGGTTTTTCTGGAAGAGCAATAAGCACTCTTAACTGCTTAGCCATCTCTCCAGCCCCCAGTAGTTAAGCTGTCTTGACTTGGTAGCACTCATAGGAATTTTGCTTCTTTTGAAGTATATATAAATGGAGCCTATTGGTTTTGATTCCTTCCTTCCCTCAGTGTTATTTATGAGGCTTGCCTATGTTTTTTGCACATAATGAAATGTTGCACATGTAAGAAATAAATATTTCTTATTTTTACGATAGTACACTATGCCATATATGAAACCATGCTAACAAGATTTTAGTAACATGTTTCTATTTTATAGTTATTGTAAATAATGTTGCTGTGCTGATTAGACCTGAGCTAGAGTCATCTGGGAAAAAAGAAAGAAATTCAACTGAGAAATTGCCTCCTTCCCATTGAACTTACTTGTAGGCTGTGTTCTTGATTAATGATTGATGGGGTGAGGGCCCAGCCCACTGCTGGCAGTGCCACCTCTGGGCAGGTGGTCCTGGTTGTTTAAAAAAAACAAACTGAGCGAACTGTGAGAGCGAGTCATTAAGAAGCGCCATGGTCTCTGCCAGTTCCTTCTTCAGGTTCTGCCCTGCACTCTTGACTTCTTGACCTTGTCCTCTCTCAGGGTAGACTGTGATCTGGTCCCCTCCCAGGTTGTG